AGGGATGTACCAACTCCGGTTTTTAAGATTCCTCTATCCTACCATCACAATTATAATTCATAATTCCATATCTACCACAATAACATGAATCCATCAAACATTTTCATTCCAACGAGAAATATTGCATAATAATTTAACAGTACTCAATCTGTACAACAAGATTTAAGTTAAAAACATATCGAGTAGACTTTCAGGAAAGAGAGGTGTGTCACAATGGACAACTTAAGTACCAAGTCTTTCCTTAGCCAAAGTGTTTCTCAACTAGTTTTTAACAAATTTCTTATTTACAGATTCAAAACAACAAGATATAATATTAACACCGAAATTCAATATAGATAGATATACAGTAAGCATTAACAGTATTCACATAGAATTTCAAAACACGAATAGTAATAAAACAATACTAAATCATATTATAAAAGCTTAGAAAGGTTAGTTCCCTTACCTCTATTCCAAACTTCTCTTGCTCCGAATTCGTTTTTTCCAAAAACCCTTCAGAGGCTCTATTCTTCTTACAACTAAAAATTTCTTCCTAACTCTTTTTTCTTTCTCACTTGATTCTTCCTCTCTTTGTGCAAAATAGCTTCCCCTCCTCATGGCTATTTATAGTCCAAATTTTTTACTATTCATCAATTTTTTAATATTATTTATTATTTTAATATTATTTTATTATATTAATTTCTTAATCACCACTTACATAATAGATTCATAATGGATTCATTAATAATGTCTTCAAATCTGAATGCTTTCTCCATTATCAATATTTTACATTTCAATTTACTTTTTCGTTTTTTTTTGAACCCATCACCAAAATTTTCTATCAATTAAGCTACCAAAAATTCTTATTTAACTTTCCACATTTTATATTATAAACTTAGTATATTTTCCATTCACAAATAAGTTTATTACTACTAATAATAAAATTGTTACTATTAAGATAAATATTTTTCATGGGTCTTACATTTAACACTTCTAGATAAAGGAATAAATTAGTAATTTAGCAAACAATTTTCACAAATTCACCCCTTTCTCCTCACATTTTATTTTCTCTTTAAAATCATTCTCTAATTATCAAAAATTCTCCCAATTCAACTTAACCAAATACAAACAGTCCTCACAAATTATCTCTAAATCCATTCCCACAAATTGTAAATTATGTCTAAGTGCATAGCATAAAGCTTGTTGTGACTATTCTTGAATTCTCTTCTCTAATTCTTGCTGCCATGTTTAGAATTGAACAAGCTACCTATGTCATTGGCCAAAACCAGCTAGAAAATGAATATTCAGTTCATATTATTATCACTGCATTTTCTTGGAGTATTCTTGGAAGCTTCCTCAGTTTCCGACAAGTAGAAAGGTACCAATGGTACTGTGTGACAGATACTGCTCTTAAAAGAACACGTGGCAAGTAATATTTTCTTTGTACTCTTTTCAGTTCTTTCACTATAAATAAAAGTCAGAGACGCCTCTCACCATTTCTCATTCTTTCTCTGCTTTTCTGCGGAGGTAACACCATAAAAAACTTAATGGGGAACTGTTGGAGTTTTCAATCAGCTTCTGCTGTCAATCACCGCAACTCCATTACTGCACCCAACCCCAACAATCGATCAGGTAAACCAACAACACTCTCCTTCTTTGATTCTTAAAATTATATAAACGCATCATGCTATAAGTGCAAAATCATTTCATCAAGTCAAGCAGAAAAGTCAACCAGAACTTGCAGCCAATCTATCCCCAATTCCTAAAAGCCATGTAATTAGAATGAAACATAAAAGACACTCCTTGTTATTTGCAATAATTCACTACGAAGTGCTTGATCTTGTCTATTCAGGTTCTAAACCAGATTTGTTGCTTTATATGACAATTTTTTGCTTTCTTTGTTACAATGGTTCAGGGAGTATTCAGTTTTCTGCTGGTACAAGCAATAATAGATTAATACAGAGCAGTAATTCTATTTCTGTCGGGCACAGCAGCCACTCCGGAGGATTCAGCAGGTTCTTTGGACCAAGTAGTAGTAATAATTACTCAACAGGAAATAACACCAGCACGTCCTTTTTGGGCTCTGACAATAGCCAAGCCTCTCGAGTGAGGGATGAAGAGGAGAGGGGGCAAATATTGGATGTTGCAGATCTGAGAGTATTTACTTTGGCAGAACTGAAAGCAGCCACCAAAAATTTCAGAGCAGAGACTCTGTTAGGAGAGGGGGGATTTGGTAAAGTATACAAGGGTTTGATTAGAGCTGAGGGGTTGGCTATTGCCATCAAGAAGTTGACTTCTGGAAGCAAGCAAGGAGTTTCGGAATGGCAGGTATCGGAATTAATAACACTTCAAAATTAGTATGTGGCTAATATTACATATGTATACTGATATTGATGCTTTTNGTATTCAGTTTTCTGCTGGTACAAGCAATAATAGATTAATACAGAGCAGTAATTCTATTTCTGTCGGGCACAGCAGCCACTCCGGAGGATTCAGCAGGTTCTTTGGACCAAGTAGTAGTAATAATTACTCAACAGGAAATAACACCAGCACGTCCTTTTTGGGCTCTGACAATAGCCAAGCCTCTCGAGTGAGGGATGAAGAGGAGAGGGGGCAAATATTGGATGTTGCAGATCTGAGAGTATTTACTTTGGCAGAACTGAAAGCAGCCACCAAAAATTTCAGAGCAGAGACTCTGTTAGGAGAGGGGGGATTTGGTAAAGTATACAAGGGTTTGATTAGAGCTGAGGGGTTGGCTATTGCCATCAAGAAGTTGACTTCTGGAAGCAAGCAAGGAGTTTCGGAATGGCAGGTATCGGAATTAATAACACTTCAAAATTAGTATGTGGCTAATATTACATATGTATACTGATATTGATGCTTTTTCTTTTTGTGCAGTCAGAGGTTAATTTCTTAGGGAGGCTTTCTCATCCCAACCTTGTTAAGTTACTGGGATTTGGGAGGGAGGATAGTGAACTGTTTCTGGTGTATGAATTTATGCCTCGTGGGAGCTTGGATAACCAATTATTTGGAAGTAAGAGCATGCTAATGCTGTTCATCACATTGTTAAATCCTAGCACACCCAGAGTGAGTACTAATTTGGGAAAATCTATGAACTTTATTTTGATTCTGCAGGAGGTGCAAATGTTCGGCCACTTTCTTGGGACACAAGGCTAACAATTATGATTGGAGCAGCTAGGGGGCTTCATTTCCTTCACAGCTTGGAGAATGCCATTATATATAGGGATTTTAAGCCCTCAAATATTCTCCTCGACTCAGTAAGTTTCGTTATATCCTTGGGGCTTGGAATTCCCATGATCACATTTTGCTCATTGTGCATGCTATTGAAGTATTCATGGAAATGAAAAAAAAAATCTTTCTAATTTTTTCTTTTTTAACAGAAATATGTGGCTAAGTTATCAGATTTTGGCTTAGCCAAATCTATCCCTTCGCCTGATCAGAGTCACATATCAACACATGTTGTGGGAACACACGGCTACGCTGCTCCTGAGTACATTGCAACAGGTATTATCTGTTAATTTCCCTTCATAAACCTCTTGTGTAAACCTGAGATGACAGTAATTAAATTAAATGGTGTAGGTCATTTGTACGTGAAAAGTGATGTGTATGGATTTGGAATTTTTTTGGTGGAGCTGCTGACTGGCAAGAGGATTAGTGGTATAATGCAACTATGTGGGGAAACGCCGTTGAGGGATTGGGTCAAAAGAAATCTTTTAAATAGAGGGTATATAAGAAACACTATGGATGCAAAGTTGGAAGGAAAGTATCCAACCAACTTAGCTTTAGAGGTAGCTCAACTAGCTCTCAAATGCATCCAAATAGAGCCCAAAGTAAGGCCATCAATGAAAGAAGTTCTTGAAAGATTGGAGCAGATTGAATCAGCCAATGAAAAACCGGCTGATAACAGAAGACGGGTTAACCGTCCTCGGGTTGTTCAACAACATGGCCGTCCAGATGGTGGCTAATTGAACTGAACCCATCATTTTCATATTCCCTTGAAGCTGATCGATTGTGGACTTGAAGAACATATTGCTAAAAAAAGTGTCTTTGCTCCAGTGCAAAAAAAGGATCGGAGGTTGTATTAGGCCTGAGGGTGAAGGCTTGAGGGTATCTTCCAGGGTTAAAAGCCTGTGAGACTTGTTATGGGCACCCCAAAACTAAGACAAAGAGAGTTCAAACTTCCCTCGTATTGATAATGAAGAAGGTGCTCCTTTTCCATTAATTTTTCCACTTATTGGTTCTTTGGAGTTTGTATTGAATGTATGAATGAATGTTAATATTTAATCTTTGTGTAATTATTTCAATTTTTTAAATGGTTTAGAAGGGTAGAAACTTGAATAGAAATAATTGTTCAATATGAACTCAGCTTCCTGCTGTAGCAACTAAAATTATAGTTTTGTTTGACATTGCACCATTTAACATTTTACTTAAAAATTTTTTGAGTTACTTTGTGACAGTAAATAGGTCCCACCTCTCCCTTTCATCTTGGGCTACTTTACGGTCCTTGAAGAGTGTATGTGACTAAGAAATTCTTTTTTTTTTTCTTTCTTTTATCTTTGTTTATGTACAAATAATAAATTATTACTGTACATTTAGAATGTTGTTTGGTGCGTTTCTTTTTTTTTTCTCGACCCTATAAATGGTTTCTATGTGCACTTATTATTTAATTGGATAATAGGACGGGTTAAGGAGAGTGAATTTGAAAGTGAATTATTTAAATATAATAATTATTGAAAGTGAATTCTCCAACATTATTATTTTGATTCAAATTATAAATTACAAATCAAATATAAAAAAAATAACACAATTTTTTATTAAATGTAACGAGTATGAAAAATAATAAGGCTATGGGCCTTATGTTGAGACAGTCAGCCCATAAGCTAAGGACCCATGACCTTAGGAAGGGGTTTTCTAAAGATCAGAATTCCTTTATTTTGTCAGCTTTCTTTTTCTCTCTAAAATCCTTGTCCTAAAATTCTCTGCCTTCTCTCTAGATTTTCTCTTCACTTAAAGATCAAATTTTGATTTGAAAGGTATTTCCGCGCTTGCTGCACCAAGGGCTTCAGTTTGAACCGATAAATGTTTTTTTTCTTTTCTTCAACCGTTCTGAACCTAAGCCATGCAACTTGTGGGTTGCCTGTTAGTATAGTTTTTCCTTTAGTTTCTCCTGTCCCTTCCATAACTCTAAGAAATGTGCTCTGCACCAATTTTTGTGGCTATAGGTGCTGTCAAACTCGCCTCTGTGAGGAGGTACTGCTAGAGCGGTCCTGGAGTGGTTACGTTAAGGCGTTCCAAGTGAAGGGAGCTAATATTTTTGTATGAATTTATTTATAAAAATATATGATATGATGTGAACTAGTGTGCTCTTGTGAAATGTTGTATGACTTTATTGTATTGGGTGTTATAACTGAAACTGTGAAATTGTGTATGTTGTGATGTGATGAATTTAATCTGTTTTGAATGAGTTTGTTGGCTGAAATTGATTTTGTTGGAAGGTCTGGAGTAAGGGTTCTGTAATAGCATGTATATGGGTATTAAATAGACGTACATGAGAGAAGTGAAAATATTAAAATTAGGCATTTTAGATTTAGAGGAATAAAGAGACCATGGGAGATATTTTAAAAAACTTAATTGTTAATGTTGAGAGCCTTTCGTTGTTGGTAGATAGCATAGAGGAACCTTAAAAACCTTGAATGACACTCCTGATCATAGAGCATCCATGGCCTGGTCCAGCAGTTGTGACTAGTATGTGTGGCCGTCGAAGGTGAGTTGATGCGTTCATACATCTGGGTCCTCTCATGACCAATTGGGGTAAAGAAAAATCTCTAATAGGATGAAAATAAAATAAAACAAGTGATTGTAGATGCATAAAGTTATCATGTGTTAATTTATAGTTCAATTATAATTTTAGAAAAATCAGTCACTATGTGTTTAGAATTTAAAGTAAGGATCCATATATAAATATATATATATATATATATATTTAACTATAAATATATTAGTTTAATATATATATAGATAAGTTTTAATATTAATATAAAAATATATATTATAACGTGAAAGTATCATATATATAATATATATATATATATATATATATATAATATATAATATATATATATATATATATTAGTTTAATGGTGCGTTGGTATTTCCAAACAATAACTCCAATATCCATTTTGCACTTTATGATTTATAGCGTGGGCAGTTAGTTATGATTAATTTAGAATCCAGAGTAGCCTTGATTGCAGCAAAACAGGTGCTTGAAAAGAGAGTTTAATATGCTTCTAATATAATACAAATATATATATTTACAAGATATTGTACGTATCATATATAAAGTAAGGATAGTTGTTTCTTATATTGAAACGTGAGTGTTAATCAATAATTATATTACTTGTAGGTATGTATAAATTGATGTATTTATGAGCTGTTATGGGTTAGTTGGAGCTGTATGGTTCTTAGTATTGATTAACTTAGATTCAATTGTGGAGATGTTATTTTATAATTGTTGAGTGCGTGAGTAATGTATATGTTGAGATTGTGTATATGTTGATTGTGGCCAAAAAGTATATGATTATAAAAAGTGATGAAAATATGATCCAAGTTGTAAATCAAGGTCCAGTAGGATCTCTTGTGAGATCATTAGTGTTTGAGAATGAAAAGTAGGAGCTCAGTAGGGGGCATTCTGAAACTCCAAGGCTCATCATACTAAAGTAGATAGATTAATCAATGGGTGAGGAAGTAGCAGGAGGCTTAGTCTTGGGGGCTTCCTAGGCCTCAAGGCCGGAACAGACTAAACCTCGGGAGTGTGGCCGGGTGGGGAACCACAACGGTCATAAGTCACACGAGTGGAGCAGGACCCGTAATAGCTCGACTATCATTCTAAAGTCCGGAAGAGTCAAGTCTAGAAGATAACATGCCTAGGAGAGATGCCTTAACCTGATTTGATTTAAGTTAACTCTTGTATGTTATGGCTTGATCTGATGCTGCTGTTATATAATTGCTCACCATTGCTGTTTGTGTGCTTGTTGTATGTGTTTTCTTTTGCAATGATCATCCACTTGGATGTGAGCAGAGAAGATGAGGTTTCTTTGGAGGCAACATTGGAGAGAAATGAAGATGATGCTGTAGCTTAGACTCACTAGGAATTCTTAGTTCTCTTATGTCAATTTTAAAGAACCTGTTATGTTTTTTAAGTCAAATTCTGGACATTTATTTGGAATAGTCTAGGCTGAAGTTTTTAATTCTAAGTAGTAAATTCTGGGAAGACTGTAATCCGATTAATATTTAAGTTACATCTCTGAACTCTTCTAATATTATAATTGGTGATGTCTTACATATAACTCTTGCTATTTTTTATATTCTAGGAGTCACCTATTTTTATTTGGATGGCACATAAATAAATATATAAATTTGAAACTAAACAATAAAAATATCCAGACATACATGGGAAAAATAATTCCGCTATTGTATATAAAAGCCTTTTCATTTATCTTTTATTACTCAAATAGCAAGAGAAATGGATGTCAAATGTAAAATTATTATTATACATCTGTGTGAGGATTATAGAGGCAAAAACTTAGCTTTTAATTTATTGACTGGTTTCTGCTTAAACTGTTCTCTTCTATTTCCCGTTTTGATCGTATCTCAAAGTTTGAAGTCTTACAAAATTTCAAATCCTGCTAAAAATTCAACATGGACTACGTCTCAAAGTGTCTCACGGTTTCATTTCAACTAAACCTCCAGGCACCATGTCCTTCATTCTTGGCGCACCTAATTTAGAGTTTTCATGATAACATAAATGCACCTATGGTAAATTTTTGTCCATTCAGTTTAGATTTGTTTGGAAATAGAAGTATCTGGGGTAGGGTCAAATGGAAAGTGGAATTATGCTATTTTTCATTTTCGGTGTTTTATTCAGAACTAGCACTTGAAGTCCAATCTAACATGATTAGCAATAAACATTGCATTACTTGGAGTATTCTTTGGAGGCTCCTTTGTCCCGTCCCATGCAAGTTGCTTTTTATCTCTTTCTCGATAACATTAATTCCTCTTCAAAAGGAAACATGCAAAACTGTTTTTCGATACTTGTTCTAACCCAATTCGCATTATATTGTGCTCAGCATTACTATTATCAACATTGCTCTAGTTATTTCTCATGATTTTTACGCCAAGGAAAAGAGCATAAACAAGTCAATGGGGAACTGTTGCAGTTTTTCATCAGGTTCTAATGGCGATGATCATCCCAACGCAAAGAACCATTTAGGTAAACCAAATACGATAGCTTTTGGCATTATGGTTATTTTTGTTTCTTTAATTGCTAAGATCATCACCAGGAAATTCCCAATTATCGAAAACATGCAAGGCAATCCTTGACATGGTTTTTCTACTTTAGATGACAAAGTTTGTATTTCTGTGACGATGTCTCAGGGAGGAATCAGTTCTCTGCTGGTCTCAGCAACAGAAGACTAATACAGAATGACAATTCTTCTTCTCGTGGGTGTAGCAGTCACTTTGGAGGAACCGGCAGTCTGTTTGGGCCAAGTAGTAGTAATAATCACATATCAGGAAATAACACTAGCACGTCGTTTTGGGGCTCTGAGAATAGCCACACCTCTGGAGTCAGAGATGGAGGGGAGTTTCCTCATGGTGAGATCTTGAACGCTCCAAACCTGAGAGTATTTACTTTTGCAGAATTGAGGGCTGCCACCAAAAATTCGGAGCTGGCAGTGTGATAGGAGAGGGGGGGTTTTTGGTTTAGAGTATACAAGGGTTTGATTAGAGGTGAGGGATTGACTATTGCCATCAAGAAAAGGAATCCCGAATGCTTGCAAGGAGTTGCGGAATGGCAGGTAAGCATTAATGTCATTCTAAAATTAGGATTCTAAACTTTTCTTTGATTATCTTCTTTATGCAGTCAGAGGTGAATTTCTTAGGGAGGCTTTCTCATCCCAACCTTGTTAAGCTGTTGGGATTTCGGCGAGAGGATATTGAGCTGTTCCTGGTGTATGACATTTCATGCATCGTGGTTCCTTGGATAACCATCTATTTGGAAGTAAGAAATGCTGCTGGTGCTAGCAGCATGCATACCAATTATGCTGAATTGATTTGTCGTTTTCTCTGATTTATGCACATGATTTCTCTTCTGCACGCAGGAGGTGCAAATGTTCGGCCACTTTCATGGGATACAAGGCTGAAGGTTATGATTGACGCAGCTAGGGGACTGAATTTCCTTCATTCCATGGAAATGAAAATTGTACATAGAGATTTTAAACCCTCAAATATACTACTTGACGAGGTAAGTTTTATTTTGGACTTGTTTGTATAATTTTTCTTCGTTTCTCAACGTAGTGCTTGCATGCTATTGAAGAATTCAAGTTAGTGAAAGAAAAAATCATTAGCTTTTTGCTTTTCTGACAGGCATTTACGGCAAGGTTATCAGACTTTGGGTTAGCCAAATCTTTTTCTTCGCTTGATCAGACTCACGTAACAACACAAGTTATGGGAACAGGAGGCTATGCTGCCTCTGAGTATATAGCAACAGGTGATATCCAAAAAAATTTCTCTTAAACACTTCATAAACCTTTGTAGAAACGTGACAAGATACTAAATCTTCACATGTCTGTTGTGTAGGTCGTTTGAAAGTGAAAAGTGACGTGTATGCATTTGGAATTGTTTTGATGCGAGGTGCTGACAGGGAAAAGAATGCAAGATATACGGCGATTGCTGAAGCAAAAGTCCTTGACGGATTGGCTCAAATCAAATATACTATATAGAGGGAAAATAAGAATGAATATGGATGCAAAGTTGGAAGGAAAGTATCCAACCAACTTAGCTTTAGAGGTAGCTCAACTAGCTCTCAAATGCATCCAAACAGAAGCCAAAGTGAGGCCATCAATGAAAGAAGTTCTTGAAAGATTGGAACAGATTGAAGCAGCTAATGAGAAACCATCTGACAACAGTTATAACAAAAGACGTGTTAATCGTTCCCAGGTAGTTCGACAACGCGATCAGCCAGATGGTGGTCAATTGAATTGAACCCATCGGCACTATATCCTTTGCAGCTGATGCATTGTGGAGTTGAAGAGCATATAGCTAAAGGGCCTCTGCTGTAGTGGTGCCGAGTAGAGTTGAGCTTGTATATAATAACAACACATGCAAGTGTTACCTGGGCAGCCCGCGCTAAAAAAGGTATTTTCTTATGAGCTAGAAGTCCATTATGTGGCTTAAAGAATGTTTCCTAAAGGAAGTGCACATTGATGTAGAAAAAGTAAAGAAATTTATTGAATTAAACAAATTTTCTACACATCAAGTGAATGCATATGAGGATCTTTCAATATAAACAACTTTGTCGATGAAAAGGTCTTCTTGCTACTCTTGCAAGATAAAGGTTGTACGTACATCTTGAAACTTGTTCAGATTCTCATGTTGGGTGGCAATATAGAATGAACTAGACAATAATGTAAATTAGATGCATGTTCTCTCATGCAAAAGTGCCTAAAGCTTTATAGGGTGTGACATTAAGAACTCTAACGATCTTGGTTAACCTGTCTTTTTGTGTTATTTTTGATAGTGATGTCCTTGTGTGAAGGGAGCTATGTTTCCTACATATATACGAGGGTGTTTGGATGCAAAACACTTGTTCACATCCCTATATATGAAAGATTTAAGCTTGATGGAAACTCGAAACAATTATCTTAAGTTATAATTGTGATTTTTTCAGTTATAAATTTTAAGATCTAATTGATGATAAAATTGTTAGAAACAAATATTTTATTTTTCTTAAGGCATTAATAAAAAAAGAATTTTGACGTTATCTTCGACCTTTAACGTCGGTTAAAATACTAACATTACAGTGAAAAACATCATAGTGAAAATGTTGATTGACTTTGAAAAAAAAATGTTGATAGACGTGAGAAGTTACTCCTAGATACATGAAGATGAGTTAAAACCTGTAGCAAAGTTGTTAAAGTTGTTGATCATGGGGAAGATATAAATGTAGATTTAGAAAATGTAATTGACATATCTTGTATTCAAGTCAATAAACTAACTAAATTATTTCCTCCTATTGAGCCTCAATTGAGATGATCTACTGCAAAGAATCATCCTTCATAAAAATATTTCTCTAATAAGTTTGTTTTGTTAGTTGGTAGGATAGAGCTTGAAAGATATAAATAAGTTATGTTCGATGAAAAGAAAGACAAATTGTATAAAAACATGTAAGAGGAGATGAAATCTTTACATATAAAAACCATAATTTGGAGTTAGTGAAGTTGTATCAAGACGAGAGCATTGAAAAATAAATGAGTGTTCCGTTGAAATAAAAAAAGAATAACTTAAATATTTAAAGCAAAGTTGGAAGTAAAGGACTTTCGTTATAATAAAGAAAATAATTTTAAAGTGATATTTTCACTTGTGGTCAAAATGACTTTTATTAGAGTTGTGTTGTATTCAGTTTGACATTCGTTTAAATTTAGAAATTGACTAATGTGAAAACCTATTCATTTATTATCATATAACATTATTATAAACTAAAATAAAAAAAGTGATATTCAATGGACTAAAAAAAATATTAATGAAGACTAAAGTAAAAAAATAATTTATTTTTTGGGGCTTGAAAATTTGTAAGAAACTAAAATTAAAATTAACATAAGGAATAAAATTAATATTTATAATGCAGTAAAATGAAAAGTGTCATATTTTCAAAATGCTTAATTGTTTTACTATAATTATTAACAAATAAGGATAGATACACTGGAAATAAAAATTGATTAACATCTATATTTTTTCAACTATTCGTTACTTCTTTTAGAAATCATGGTGTAATTATAATTTAAATAAAAAATAATGTATCTTATATCTAGACTATCTTTATTTCTTCATAAAGATTATGATGGTTGGCAGTTTATTGTTTAAATATTTTTCAAAAAGACTATGTTCGTTGGACATGTTAGACATATTTTTCTTGCTCAAATATGTAAAACAGGTCAGATTAAACTAAAAAATCATATTTATATTAATTTTGTCACTCTTTATCAATTTAAAAAAAAATCAACCTTTTTAAATTTTTCGATTTTATTTTTAAAAATTTGTTTAAAAGTGATGAAATTGCCAAAATTTTTCAGAAGTTATATAATTTTCTTTTGAACATATCATAACATCATAATTACCTCATCATAGTTAACATAAAATGTTAATAATAGATTTTGGAAAAAAAATATATAGATAATCAAACTGTTGATCCTATAAAAACTAAAATGTTAATTAAACCATTTTTTTTTTAAATTTTCGCTATCAAGTTAGTATCGCTTTATTGGATAGAAAATTCTAAAGATAAGTTTTTTCACATAAAAAACTTGAAGGTTACAATTATTGTGAATATCGTTCACTATTTAAATTTGATCTTATTTTTTCTAATAAAGATGAAATATGATAAATCTAGATAGAATATTATAAATCAATATAGAATTAATTAACTTTGTAGTTCCAATCCTACAGTATTTTCTCTCGCTACTTTTCACTTTACTTTTACTCTGTATATTTTATTTATTTTTATCTGTATTGGTCTAACTAGTCCTTGTAAGTCATTTTTTTTTAATTCGGGTCAAATACAGGAAAAGGATGCATCCAATGGGCTATATTTATTGTGTCATACCGGCTGTTCGTTCCTCTGTCTCTTTTTTTTTCTTCCTGCACCTCCATAAAATTCATAAATTTCAAATTACTTATTAAAATTATAATAAAAAGGTAAAAGTTACACTTTGAGATGGTATAATTTAGAAGGTATTTTTAGATTTAAAAATATGTTTATTAAGGTATTTTAAATTGTACATTCTAAAACATATTTCAAGACATGAAAATAAGTTTTGAATTACAGAAATACATTTTAAAAGAAATAGATTCTATATTCTGACATATTTTCAAATCTAAAAATACTTTCTAAATTACATAATCTGCAATATATTAACAAAATAATTTTTGAATTATATAATTCAAAATATATTTCTTAATTTAAAAATATTTTTAAAATTAGAAGATCTAAAATACATTTTAAAAAAATATATTTGAAAATAAATATTCTGAGAAAAGATTAATATTTTTTGTTATTAAGTTACAGTATATTAGTTTGTCATATAATCTGTTAATTTGTTGTTTTTTGTTTTATTTTCTGTTATATATACAGTATAATTATAGTAGATAAATAACAATTTTTCTTTCAACATTTTAAATTGGTCACTAATATTATTTATCAAGATTTTTACTAACAAAATATTAATTTCTAATTAAGAAATTAATCTCTAAACATATATTTTTTTATTACTATAATTCATCATTATATAAGAATCTTCGAGAAGTACTTCTTTTATTGTGTGAATCATCTCATCCCAATGTTGTACTCCTCGTAGTTGAAAATTAAATTAATTCAAAATTATTTAACGTTATTATAGTTTATAAATTATTTTCGAGCACCAGTTTTGACAGAAATGACTAACGGTGTTTTATAAGATATAATGCTTTGTTTTCGTAAAATAAAAAATTAACTTAAATGACATTTTTTAATTAGTTGAATTAGTTATTTTTGTTTTATATTTAATTAAGTTTGGAGGGTATTTCGCTTATTAAAGGAACCATCTCTTTTTATCCGTTTTTTATTCATTGAAAGGTATCAAACTCAAATATTAAAATATTTACTGTAATTTACACACGTGACTCCTAAATTATTATTTTTATGTAC